TTGAAGACAAAAATCATCATAATTGGTTAAGCTAAGTAAAAAAATAGATACTTTATAGTACAAACCACAGGTTAAAAATAGCAATATCAATGGTTTTATTATTATATATTATTTTTCCATGATGACAGGTGAGGCTCTGCCTCACCTGCCTCCCCTGACCGCACGTCACTGCCTCAGAGTAAACCTGCAGACAAAAAACAAAGGATGCTTAAATAGGGCTGCAGTAACCTAAACCTGCCACATGAGGGAGCCACAACACAACACAAGGGACAAAAAGAAAACAAAATGACCTGAAGCAGAATATGAAGAAAATAAATCAAAGTGTCGGTTAGCAGAAATACGTGAATATTGTTATGTTCCTGGTTTCCTCCTCCAGCTGGTCTGAGTTTATGAAAAAATAACAAATATAAATAAACCATACAAAGTTTTCACCCATTAGAAAATATGTCTAAATAAACAACTTGAACTTAATTTATGCATAATATTAATGTAAATGATGAAAAAGTAAATCCTGTTTGTGGTGGGAGAATCCAGCACAAACTTTTCTCTGGAGTCACTTTACCTTTGAGTAAAAGTATGCAGAAGTAGTGATATTTTTTACTTGATTACAGTCTTTATGGTTCTCTGTTGGAGATGAACGTTTGCAGAATGTTTTTAAATAAAACTGAATTTCTTCCTGGCTTTTCATGCTTCCTCCTGAAGGTTTCTCTGATCACGTCTCCTTTGAATAAACGTGTAAACGAATAAAGTTTTCTGTCTTTATTCTTACTTTTGCCTTGGTAATCTTAATGTTTTTAATAAAAGTCAGTTGGACGTTTCCCCAGTTAAACTGGACAAAGATTAGAGTTCAGTTAAAACATGTTTAAATATGTGTTGTTAATTATTATTATTATTATTATTATGACACTTCAGGAAATTTGATCATTACAATTTGATCAAAGGAAAAAAGAAAACTGACAGGAAATTTTATTAAACTGAAGAAATATTTGCAAATTGTTTTATGTTTCTGTTTGTGCCTTTCTGAAGAGAATAATAGTTTGATAGTATGTTTAAAAATTATGTTGTTTAAACCAAAAGTTAGTTTTCATGCTAAATGCTGGTGACAGTTTATTTGAAAGGTGTGAATAAGACTGACATAACAACCTGTCATTAATCACCGCGGCCTTGAAAGTTTTGGATCCGTTGGTCAAACCGGTTTTCAGACATTTTATGACCCGTTTTACCAGCTCATAAAAACTAAACCACCAAGTAAATCTGTTGCATAATAAAATGTTCTGTTTTCCCTCATAAATGCTTCATCACTTTTATTTTCTAGGTCTTGAAGAGGTTAGAATACGCACACACACACACACACATACACACACACACACACACAGCCTGCAGACAGATTTACTGCTCAAAAAAAGAAAGTAAAGTAGAACAAATAAAAGACGGGGAAACATTAATTACCAACACCAGTAACTTATTTTTAATGCCTTTAAAGAAAGTTATTAATTTCCTTTTAAAACTTAAGGTCCTTATTTTACTACAAATCCAGATATTTATCTGCTTGGGACACGTTAAAATCCCACCTCAAACTGTGAACCAAATACTCCAGAGGCGACATTTCTGTGGTTTTAATCATATCCGTCATCTAAAAATGAAAGTTTAATATACATGTTTCTGAAAGAGTCTTGAGGTTTTACAGATAAAAATAACTTTGGCTTCAGTAGAAGTTCAACACAAAGTGAAGCAGCAGGAAAATTGCTGAATCTTCTTCGGTTTTTTGTTATTTTTCTCCAGGAAGAAACGAGGATTAAAATCTTCACCTTCACAAAATCACAATCCAGCCTTGACCTTTGACCTTCTACAGACATGTTTGGGACTGACGCCCAGTTTGTGTTTGGTGTGAGACGTAATTTTACTTAGTTCCTGTTTTTTTTCACTGCTTTGTCATAAAGTCATAAATACTTAAAGGGCAGTATCATGTAAAATCTACTTTTTTATATACATCACATAAAGTTTTTCCCTCATCAAAAACAAACCTGCTTTGATTCTTTTATGCATGTTTGAGAAATCCTTCAAGCTCCATGGCAACCATTTAGCTGGGTGGACCTGCCTCCGAGGAGCAGCTCCTCCCCTCTCAGCTCCTTCAGACTAGCCAGCAGCAATTAGCAAACAGCTGCTGAGCTATTATAGGAGCTGCTGCTCAGTGTAATGCTAGCAAAAATGTTTTAAAGGGTCAATAGAGGAGCCATGTTAGGACGACTTCCTGGAGGCGGAGCTTCAGAAAGACCAGGAGCTTCTTAAAGAGACAGAGACCCAATTTCAAGATGTTAAATCACATATTTCAGTTGTGTAAGTGAAGGAACATAGTCATGTGATTATACTATAAAGAGCTATAAAGTGGCACTACGTGCTTGTTAAAGATGAAAATCACTGTCAGGTTTATTAGAATATTATTCTAAATTAAAGTGACAGACTGAAACACAGGCATCGATCTCAGTAAAATGTTTTATGCACAAGAATTAAGTCTTTTGTGAGAAACTAACTTCTGTTTATGTTTTGCAGCAGCAGAAATCTGCTCTGGCCTTCATTTTAACTCAAGCACTTTCCACACAAAGTCTTATAGGAAATAAAGACAATAAAACCATTAGTTCAACACAGTCACAGCTGGTCATGGCTGAGCAGTCGAGGTAAAATGACGTGATATGTCAGGAGGAGCTTCACATTTCCAGACCTTGTTGTGTGAAATCATTTCTGCCTGCAGGTCTTGGCGGCTTTCAGTAAACATTGTGAGATCCGGAGTCCAGTTCACGCTGCCTCAGGTAGAAGTCCGGTCTGTTTGAGAACAGCGTTGACAGCAGGAATAAGATGGCCGCTGTAGCCCAGCAGTCTGCCCTCATATATCAGCTGCTTCTCCTTGTGTTTGGGCGGTCCTCGAGGTCTGCAGACACAAAGCACAGACGTCAGAGACAGACGTCAGTCTGCAGGACAGTTCTGTTATAGGAATACTTTTCCAAAGGGTTTTGACTAAAGTATTTGTCAACTTTTTAAAAAAAAACACAAGCTTTTGATTTGCCCAAGAGATCAAATTAAAAAACACTTCACTGTTCCCAAACGACCTTCCTGGTGAACCTGAAGTTCAAAGTTCAGCGGCCTCGGCTTACTTTATGTGGTACATCCGGGCTAACTTCCTGTCAACCCAGATGCAGGATTTCTGTGGCTGTAGGACTCCATGGACAGACGTGGCAAACACCGCTCTGGGGTTGACGATGATCTTGGCGTTGTGCTTCCTTCTCCTGGGGATGAAGGGTTCTCTGTAGAGGTGAGCCAGGATGTTGACCCCCGATACGTTCTGCCACTGGTCCACTGCAGGCAGAGCGTTGGGCTTCGGAGGCGGCAACTCAAACTCCATGGGGATCCAGTTATTCTCAAAGGTGTAACACCTGTCAGCGCCGTACTTATTTTTCAGCAGCGGCAGCAACTCCATCCAGCTGCAGAGAAAACGATCAAAATCAGTAAAAACACATTCAAAACTTGGTGAGCACACTGCAAAAACACAACCTGAGCAAATAGTTTCTACTGCAAATATCTTAGTACACTGGAAATAAGACAAAACTGACTTACAGCAAGATATGGGAGCTTGTTTTAAACGAATAATTTAAAACAAGGCAGATTATATCGTTTACGTGAAAAAACAGATTGAAATTGGGCGCCTGTCTCTTTAAGAAGCTCCTGCTCTTTCTGAAGGTCCTCCTCCAGGAAGTCATCCCAACATGGCTTCTCTATTAACCCTTTAACAACATTTTTACCAACGTTGTTCTAAGAAGTAGCTCCTACCACTAGCGGAACGTCAGCGTCGGGCCGGGGGGCGGGGCCAATCACCGGGCCCCTTACGTGGAGTGAAACTGAAACTGTTGAGGGGGGGCGGGGGGGTATTTAACATTAAATACACCCTTCTCAACAGGCGAGGGCGCACTTTCTCTGTCTATAATCACATATTTCAATGACTTGAAACCATTCCTCCCTCCCTGGCACCTCCAGGCCCGGGCCCCCATCCGGGCCCGGGCCCGGATGCTGCTGCCCCACAACCGGGCCCCCATCCGGCCCGGTTTGGGGGGCAGCAGCCTCCCCACCCCCCCATAGCTCCGCGCCTGGCTCCTATGATGAGCTCAGTCGGTCCACCAGGTGTTTGCTAATCGCTGCTGGCTAGTCTGAAGGAGCTAGCAGCTTGCTTTAAGTCAATAATTCTTTAATATTGATGAAAAGTTTTAGTTCCACTGGCAGATTATTTCACTTACAACATTCTAAAAATGTCTTACTATAACTAAATTTATCAGTCAATCAAATTAATAGTTTTTAAAATAAATAGAAAGGAATTACTGACTTAGAACAAGCTGCTGTTTCTTGGTAAAAAGTTGCTACTAAGTTAGTTTTGTCTCTTTTCAAGCGAACTAAGACATTTGCACTAAAATTCCTTGGTAAGATTTTGTGTTTTTGCAGCACAAAGGAAAACTATTGCATCATTAAAATATTTCAGGAAAACCAGAAGATGCTGCATAAGATGATGTGTCCTGTTTGCCTTTCAGGACATTTATTGGAGGAAAAACTTTACTGAAAAAGTCGTTTTAATGTGAAACAGAAGCTCTACCTGTCGACCGTCTGCGGCAGGATGAGCTCGTCCGGGTCGTGCAGCGCCACGTATCTGGACCGGTACATGGATCTGTACAGGCAGTCGTTGAGCGCCGGGATCTGACCGAAGTAGTGGATGTCACCAGGACTTTGCTGAGGAGAAGCTTTTCGAGAAACATTCAGGTACTTGGACAGCGACCAAGGAATCACCTCCACTAGACCTGGAGAGACACAGGCAGGTTTAAGTTCACACTCACTACCATAGCAACAGTTTTCTAACTTTAAAGGAATAAAAAAACAATTTAAACCTAAAAAGCACCAAACATGTTTGTTCTGGAACATCCACATGCTTTAAAAATATGAGAACTGCTGTCAGCAGCTGCGTTTTCATCACAAATGTTTGCAAAACCAACATGTTGGAATTACTGTGTTTATGTTAAATAAGAACTGCAACTAAAATCACACATATTGAGTCATTAAAAGAACATGGAAAAAGGCTGACATAAAAGCATTTTTGTTTGTTCAGAAGGTCTAGTCAAAGCCCAAGCTTAAAACCACCAGAGAATCTGTGCCAAGATATTAGAGCAAATGTTTCCAAATCCTCTGATTTATGTTGAAAAGGTGATAAATTTAGTAACTTTCTTTGTTAGTAGTTTATTAAAGTGTTAACTCACAGTCTCATTAATATTAATGAGCTGTTTATGCGGACAGACGTGGACATTAACGTCCGGACTGAACCTTTTTCTGAGTAGTGGTCCAGAACTCGCTGCACGTCGGCGCTGCAGTTGGTCTTGTAGACGACGACTCTGTTGACTCCCAGAAACTGAAGCATCTCCAGACTCTGCACCAGCTGCAACACAAAGCCAGTTTACTGCCACAAACATCACCTGACACAAGCTGCAGGTTCAGCGTTCAAACATGTACAGGAAGATACAAGATAAATAAAAAGGATCTGTTTAAAATCAGCTGTAAAGGGAGAGAAAACGTATTTCTTTGCATCATTTGATCCCATTAAACTCTTGTTCGTTTGTATTTGCTATTTTTTAACGAACGTGACGTTACCTGCAGGACGTTGGTGAAGTCGTACATGGCGGAGAAGCAGCAGGTGAAGTTGTAAGGAAAGGTCGTCTGTTCGATTTGATTTCCAACCTCCAGAAACTCAAGATTATCAATTTCTGATTTAAAACAACAAAAAACACGTTTTAGAAACCAAAAGTTGTTTTTACACTGAGTCCTCTCTTTTTTACAAGCCATTTATAGCAAAGTGTCACCGCCGGGCTCCCGTACTCGCTCTGTTTGCAGCTCTAACTATGAATGGACACAGCTAAACTGGTGTCTATAATAAATTAACGTTGGACATGAAAGGGAAAATGTTTGACTGGTTCTGTTTTCTTTTTTTCTAAATAAATGTGGATGAAGAATCACCAAAGTCTTATTTTTTTAGAATATGTAACACATCTTCAAACCGAACTATCACCTATGTAATCTAAAAGTAAAGCTCCTTCATTAAAAGAAAACATTTGATTAGTTTAAAAACGATGAAACTTTGGAACTAATTTTCCTCCTGACACACAGAAGTTGCAGAAAATGTCTCTGTTTAAATCGATGGAGGGACGAAAAGGTCTGGTGGAAGAGAAAAGTCTGACTGGTGCAACTTTAAACTATTCTGAACCTAAATTTGATTATAAACAGTAAATACATATTTTAAATCCCAGTCAGAAAAAATAAATACATTTTGGATAAGAAAACTGTTTAAAACAAACTGAGTGGATTATTTTATGTTAATGTTTATTCACTCTGTGTTTAACCTGAATAAATTGCGCAATAACGAATTAACTCATTGCATTTTTAACTGAACATTAACAATATATTTATCGTTATAATAAAATACTTTCCCAGTGTTTATCATAAAGTCTTCCATGTTTTTATTTAACCAAACTGTGACATTTCTACCTTCGTCCTTGGTGGCAGCCGAGGTGACGGCGACGTAACCAGGCGTCTCGCATCCTGAGGGGACGGGACACAAGATGTCCGCCGTGCCGAAGCGGAAGCGGAAGTGGTCCCTGTGGATCCGGACGGCGGCGCTGGAGACGTGCAGCTGGTGGCGGCAGTGGAGGTGGCAGTGGAGCTTCACTCTCTCACTGCGCAGCATTATGGCAATAATCCGAACCTGCCGCACAAAATGTCACATCCAGCCACTCCGTCACGTTGTTAGAATATGCAGCTGGGATTGAAACTTAAAGAATATGGAGAGGTTTTCTTTTTAAATGTTCTAAAAATAAATGTTTCTCATTTTCCAACACAAAGGTTTGCAAAGGGTTGAAATGGGAGGCAGAGAAACACTAACATGATTTTACTCAAGTAAAATTAAAAGTAACCATCCAAGAAATTAGTCAAGAGTAAAAAAGAATAAGGTAAAAATGCTTAAAAATATTTAAAAATGACACAAAAAGTCATGTGGAAATTTTGGTATTTTAAATATCAAAATGAAAATACTTTCTATAAATAAACATTTAGATTATCATATAAAGTATTTGGTAAAAAGGTTTACTGAAGTACTGAGTAACTGATCAAATTACCAATCATTAAATATTTATAAATTACATCATCAAATGGACCAAAAAGGTTAAGTAGAAATTTAGTTAATTTAAGGGCTAAAATTACAATGTAGTCCTAAATCATATAAATAATTAATATAAATATCAATAAAAAATAAAATCAGGCAAAATAAATCAGTTTCTTTCAATAAAAACGAATTAAACTTGAACAGAAACTCCAGGTGTGTCTCTGTCTGGTGACAAAAAACGTTTTTGTTTTTCACTCATTCGGAAGAAAATCCAGAAATTTTACTGAAGTTTAGAGAAAAAAGTCAAAATACTCCCAAAAGTACTTTTCCCCTAAAATGTTACTCAAGTAATTGTAACTGAGTAAATGTAACTAGTTACTACCAATTCTGGGAACTGGAGACTATTTTAATTTATCACAAACTAAAATCTTAAAAAGTTAATATTTGTCAATGAAATGTGTCTAAAAGGCTCATGGAAGTTAAACCTGTTTTAGAGATTCAGTGGAACTGAATGAAGAAAAGTGTAAGAACAGAACTACTGAACATGAATTAGGTTTTATAATGGTTGCTATAGATTTAATTTTTAAAAAATAATTTTTAAAAACGGGATTAATCCTCTCTGCTGATATTTACAGAAACAAACCTGAACTTGTGGCAGAAATACAAACTACCTGCTTTCATATTAAATTTAGTTTTTTCACATATAAGCTTAATAAAATAAACTGAAGTGAAGGTTGCAGTTGTTCTCTTCTACAGTTGCCGGTTGCTGCTGTTTCTTTTCAGTGGCGGTGAAAATGAAAGCTGACCTCCTTCCTTTTGGTGCGATGCTCCAGGTAAGCGGATGTGAGGAGAGTCCTGGAGCCGTTTATTCTCAGCAGCTGGGCTGTTTGTCCTCTGATAACTAAAGAGAGAAAGAAAAGAAAAGACAACATCAGATTTAACCAGCAGTATGGCGAGCAGCAGCATCAATCAGCAGCCATTTTGGTCCACATGTGGCACAGTCAAAGCACAGAGACGTCATTTTCAGCCCCAGACTTTCCTAGAGGTTTAATTATTGAATGTTTCATAATGTCTATCTGCTTAGCATGTCAGGTTTAAAAGCTGCTGTGAATAATAAGATGTGGAAACTGGATCACTGTGGACAGGGCTGGAGCCAGAGGAGGGTCCTGGGGGGCATCAGCCATGTAACAACGATGCCCCCAAATGGAAAGAAGAAAAATTATGATTCATGTGAAAAAGAAAATGTGGAATGTATATAGATATTATATATATATAACATTTATTTAACATTCTACAATAATTATTTAACATTATTGTAGAAATTTGTCACAGTTTATTTGTTCAAGTAGTTTTTTCCCCAGACGTTTATTGGTGTTTTACATTATGCTAGGCTGCTTTTGACAGTTGGTCCATAGCAACCAGTAACTGACAGCTCCAGAACCGGAAATGTTGTAGAGATTGAGCGCAGTTGCGGTTGAAACTAAATATTTAGCTTGGAGCTCTGATGTTTATAAATGCAGGATTTATGTGATGAAATGATTACAGCCGCACATTTTTTTCTCTACATAAATCAAACTATTGCTTTTAATTTTCCGCTGTGTAACTTTCAAACAGCACCTGTAGCTTCGCCTTAAACAGAATATTCATGTGATTTTAATTGTGTTTTTAATGGAAACAAAGACTGGAAAAGGTGTTTTTTACACCAGTAGAAAATCGGACATGTTTTTCCTGGCTCCGCCCCTCTTAGTGGACCAAATGACGTCAGCATCAGAGCGTTTCCTCTGGGTGTCCAGCAGGTCGTTTCTATCCGTGTTAAAGGTAGGATCCGTCGTAAAGCCCCAGACTGCAGCAGCTCACCTGTCATTCCTGCAGTCGTGATGCAAGGCTCCGTCGGCCGGGCTGAAGTTTGAAACTCTGGAGGATTGACGGCCTGGAAGGTCAGGTCTGACCTGCAGAGCGACACACAGCGGCGTGACGCGGGCAGGCTGCGCGCTTTGCTGCAGCTCAGCCAACCAGCTAATAAACAACATGCAAATTCATCCCTTACAACAGTGGTTTCCAAACTTTTTCTGCGCCCCCCATATGGATTACAAAAGGTTCTTGTTAAGCTTAAGGTTCTGTATTGATATTAGCTAGTCATCTTTGAGCTAACATTACCTGAATCCAACAGCTTTACTCAACTCAGTCGGTTAGTTTGGAGGGAAAAACTGTGAAAAGTTCTTTGTGTTTTACTGGTTTGCTGCCGTGATTCTAACACAAACCTACGTAGCTCCGCCCAGCAGCAGCAGGTCTCCTTCACAGGTGGAAACCCAGCGCGAGCGTCCTAGCGCTCATGTTGCGTTTAAAGGCGGCTCGGAAAAACAGGTTACATGTTAACAACGGATTAAACAGTTTTAACTGCTGATAAAAGTGACAGAGGACACAGATATGGGAAGTGTGGAAGCCCCTACTGTATCAAATTGACAGAGGAATAACAGAAAGTTGGCCATTCTAAGGTAAAAACCCAGCGCATACAGTGTTCATGTTTTGTTTTTTGTTTTTTCATCCAGACGGCTTCCCGCGCCCCCCCTGCAATGACACAGCGCCCCCCCCCTAGGGGGCGCGCCCCACAGTTTGGGAACCTCTGACTTACAAAGAGCTGCGACACAGTTATAACAGCTGCCTGTTACTGGAAAAGCAGAAGATAAAAGAAAAAGTATCCAGAGCTGAAAACATAACAGTGAAAATCCAGTTTGAGTTTAAATACGACACTAATTTAATCCAGTGAGGTTTTAAACACTTTATTGGATTTTTTATAAATATATCTGATCAGAAAAGGAGATGATGAAGAGCTGCTCAGTTAAGCTTTTAGAACACAAATTATAATACATGTGACACACACACACACACACACACACACACACACACACACACACACACACACACACACGCTTGTCGTACTCTGATGTTGCAGCACTGAGCTGAGCGAAATGTAATGTAATATCTTCTCTGTTCCTATTTGCTGGTTAAGGAGGAATTATTCCTGTTCAGTATGAACTCATTACATTTACCCAATAAAAACTACTTTAGTTAGAACATTTTTACTTTTAAGTGTATTTTTACTGTGCTGTGAAATACAACATAAAAGTAATTTTATTATGACTTTGTAATTTTTCAAGTAATTTCATTATGAAGTATTTTTACTCGATTAGTATGTAAAACCTGAGTCGGCTTTTTACCAAATACTTTTTGTCAACTCTGCCTCCAACTCCAACCCTTTGTGTTGGTCTGAAAATGTGCTAAAGATTTATTTTTGCTTAAAACTGAAAACCTCTCCACACTCTAAGTTTCAGCCAGCAGTGAAGTTATGAAAAGTGTCTGAATGTGATATTCCTGGACGCTCTGCCTCCCTGTGTGTGAATCAGCACCGACTCAGATTTTTATGGGAAAATTTGATGAAACTTTAAAAACATTTTTCTCATAAATCTGGTTTCCAACATTCAAATGGCCAAATCTGTTTGATTTCTTTTTTCATTTCCAGGTTTGTAGTGCAAAAGTACATTTTAAATAAGACAAAAATAACAAAAAAAGTAATTATTCAGTAAGACATAAGAGCTTGTTTTAAGTCAGTAATTTGTTAATATTAATGAAAACATTCTGGCAGATTATTTCACTTAAAACATGACATTTTCCCACATTAATAAAATAATCTGCCACCCGAACTATGTGTAAATTTTCTAAAATGAAACTTTTTAGCTGCTCTGAAATGGTTTCATGAGTGCTAACATATGTTTTCACTCATTTTTTATTAATTTGACGTCATCAGAATTCAAATAATGAACCATCCTGGGGATTTTTCTTCCTGGTTTTGTTGAGACCAGCCACAAATATTCCCATTCTTAATAAACATTATTTAAAAGGAGCATCATTAGACGCTCCATACCGTTTATAGGTTACGCTTTGACGGAAACAACGGGAAAGGAAAAGTTTCCTCTCCAGCAGGGAGTCCAGTAAAAGTTATCTTCATAGGTTCAGCTTGGTGCTGCAGGTTGCTGCAGCTTGGTGCTGCAGGTTGGACTCACCTGTAGGTGAAGAGCAGCAGCGTGAGCGAGAGGCCGGAGACGACCAGGCTGAACATGAGGGAGCGCAGCTCCTTGAGAGCGCAGCACTGCGCGGCGCTGCTCATAGCGGCAGTGATCGGTGACAGCTCTGCTGCAGACTGACATGAAGCTCTGCCTTCGCTCCGATGCAACCTGCTTCGGCAGTCTGTCAGGATTTGCATCGCACTGCCTGAACTGAGTGGGATTTTCACAGGAAGTGATGAGGCAGCTGATGCCAGCTCAGCAGAAACTTTAGCAGCTGTCAGTTAAGAAACCAGAACAAAATCACTGACGGACAGCCTGTCCATCTTAAAAAGTTAATGTTTAAAAAGTTCAACATATTGTCTCTTATTAGTGATAAAACTATGAAATGGATTTATCACATGTAAAGGAAATATGCCAACCTGCATTTCCTGTAATTTTGATAATTGTGGTTTACAGACAATTAAAACCCAATTCAGAGTAGAAGCATAACGGTTGAAGGGAAAGCTTTCAGAATAATTACGATTATTTGCATAACCAGAGAAATACTAAATACTATTAAATCTGTAGATTTTAAAGCTGCAGTTTGTAACTTTTATTTTAAAAACTCTGTTTTAAAACATTCACCAGGTTGTGGCAGTTTATGAGGCAGATAATCTGAGAAAGCATCGATCCTCCCTGAGCTAATACTGCAGTCTGAAGAAATGCACCAAAAACAACCAGGAGGCGGGGCTTAGCGCTAACAATCATCCTCATGTGCTGGCTGTTAAATGTGCTAATGGTGGAGAAAAAACTTGTCGTTATCCACCATCATCAGGGGCTAGGATAACTAGCCTTAGCCTTCACAACAAGCTATGCTAGCTGCAGCGTGGCACAGAGCAGAACGGAGAAAAAGTTAGGGATAAGCAGCGCCACACAGAGTGATTGACAGCACTACGCCCCGCCTCCTGGCTCTGATTGGTTGTTTAGCGCTGTTAGCACTGTTAGTGCTGGGATAAAGCAGCAGATCGACGTTTTCGCTGATCATCTGACAAACAGTCACAACATGGTGAAGTTACTTACTGCAGCTTTAATGTTTGTCACTTTCAGAGCAGAAGTTAAAATCCTCCTGGTTTATTATTAGCAGGAACTGGAAAAACTAAATCAACATATCTGATGATTTTGATACATTTGACAAACTGAACTGTTTATTATTTCATAATTTATGACCGTATGATGAATTTATGGCCTAAAGCTCTGTGAACTGCCATGTTGCTGCAATAAACCCGTCTTGACTTCACATTCTTTGACTTTAACAAGAAAGACTTTTATTGCTGCCAACCTGGAGAAAGTTTTTTATCCTGATTTGAAAGAGATTTTATTAAAACTACTTTCTGGTTTGCTGATGGTTGAAGTTTGTGACATTGATTTAAGATTGTAACGAAATTTCTTCCAGAAACGCTGAGATGAACTCAGCATGGACTCTGCTTGAAGGTGCCTTTACAAGACAACTGGTTACACTGGAGTTTATTTAGAGGCATCAGAGTACAGGGGGTTGAATACAGATGAATCCCATGTTTTTCTGATTCATATTTGTAAAAATAAATAAATAAAACTTAATTCAGTGAGCTGCTTTTTTATCAGTTTGGTCACTTTTGCTGCATTTTGATGTTTTTATTTATTCAAAAATATTGATAAAATTGTTTGGACAAACATTTTATTTGTGATGTGTCAGATTTAAAGATTGCTTCTCCTCCAGTTTGTTTAAATTTTAAGTTGATTTACATCATAAAAACATCAGTCAATAATTGTGACAGATGCAATAAGCATAACACTTAGTCAGATATGATCAAAATTATCAAGCAAATACACGTCAAAATGTAGATCAATGTTTAATTTCCTGCTAATTAAAAGTAACTGTAACCAGGTGGGAGAGAAGCCTTGATTTACGGTGATGGTTTGGGTTTTACAGTGAATTTAATATAAACTTAATTTAATAAAAACTCAAACGTGTCCAGAGCTGCGTTTCGTTCGGTTCTGCTGAAAATGCTTCGTCCTTTCAGGACTTCGGGGGATGTGTGAAAATTCCTCCGATGTTTTTATTTCTCATGAAACAGGTTTGGATGCCTGTGGCCTAATTGCACGGTGTTAAAAATGCGGCTGCATTAGTAATCCCACTGATGATTATCTCCTCGTTTACTTGGCATGACTGAACTAGTCCAGCTGGTTTGGAGACGTGGAAAGACAAAGTGTCTCTTCACTTTGATGGAAATATGTCAGCATGAGTTGAGTTTGTATATTTAACAGTTGAGGAACAATGTGGTCTGACAGCAAAGCTCAGATTTCATTCACAGCTTTATGAGTGGAGAAAAAAGATAACCCCCTCAGCATCAGGGCCGTCTGAAATACTAACAATGTAAACTTTAATGTCTGTAATTCTCGGAGGTTTGTCTTACTGACAAATTAAACACAATTTAGTAAGATCAGATTTGACAACAAAGTCTTTTTTACAGCATTTTTCATTTCAATATGAAGGAAATTTCACCAAAACAACTTCCTGTCTTGCTAAAAGAGAGATAACTTTTAACATCTTTCTAAAAACATTTAGTTCTCCAAGTATACTTTTATCACAGAAAGATTACAAACATTATTTATCAAATGTGAATACAGCATTAGAATATATATTTCCCATTAGCCACTAGAATTTCAGGATGATGGTTATTTTTCAAGACGGCCGACAATAGATGGCCTTTCAAGCCAACTATTTTCATAAAATGTTTCCTATGTTCATAATTTGGATGGACTTTATGTCACATCATATGTTTTTTACTTCAGACAACTTTAAAGTAATAATATGTAGCAAAATCAGAAACGGAGGACTTTGCTGTTTGAGTCAGTCCAAATGGAGAGAGATGACACTCGCACACAATCACATGAAGAAAATATGAAGCATATCAGAACAGAGAGCTGCATGCAAATCAGCAGCCAGACCAGCAGGGGAGTGTTTGTGAGCTTTAAGTTTTTCAGGAAGAAAAATGTAGTTGGCATGGCAACAAAAACAAAAACAATGAATAGATATCAGTGTGGAATAAAAATGATAGTTCACGCCGTCTGCAGCAGTCGAGTCTCCCTGAGAACAGCGTTGACAGCAGGAGTAAGGTCAGCGCTGTAGCTCAGCAGGCGGCCTTCATAAATCAGACTCTGTGGCTTCAGACTGGTCTGTCCCCGAGGTCTGAGGAAACAGAAGGCAAAGGACAGAGAGGACATCTTTACTGTAAAGAGGCCAGGCTGTGGATACTTATGCAATAATTCAAAAGGACTGTTTTCTGTTTTCACAGAAACTGGAAGTTGTTTGTGTCTGACGCTAAATGTTTCTGAGAACTTTGACCCCTCAGTTCAGCATATTACTGTAAAAATCAGAAACTCAGGACTTTGCTGTTTGTGAGTCTCACACCAGTCGTCAACTGGAAGGAGATAAGATTAGAAACAAATCAGGCGTCTGAATGGTTAGCATTAGTATTTTTGTGTGTTTAGATATTTACCATTAGCATCGGCTAATCTTTTACTTCACTGTAATGCAGTGGTTTCCATTAAGAGTATTTTCACACCTGATGGTCCAGTAGACTCGGTTCTACCGGAACAAAACTTCATCATCTGCTCCAGCTGCTGTGGTTCTTTCTCTCCGCCCTGAGTCAAACCAATCAAACCCGTTCAGCAACCTGTTCCCCTCCTGGCCTGTAGGGGCGCTGCACCAAGAACCACTGAAGACACTGAGCACAACTTCCTTCTTCACCAGATGGAAACAAAAATGGAGTGGCTTCAAATTTTAGAGGTTGTAGGATTTCTCTCTAGTCTTTTGTAAAAAGAAAAAAAAACACACGCTAGGCTAGGATGTTTTATGGTTATTTTTACCCAGAATGCCCTGCACTGTAGTCTGCTTCCTGCTTTTGGAGCAGTCTCTGGCCTGCTTGGCATTCACATATGGATTCAAACCAGAGTTCACTTCAACTGAACCCAGACCGAGCTTTGTAGGCAGACCGGAGTTCGACTAGCATTCACACCTCACCAACCGAACCGGACTTTCCAGGTAAACGGACTGGAGTGGGATTAAAGAGGACTGAACAGGACTATTGTGAATGCAGCCTACGATTGGTTTAGGCCATATAAAGAAACATTTCTGTGGAACCTGAAGATAAAATACAACTTACTTTATGTGGTACATGCGGGCTATTTTTCTGTTCACCCAGACAGAGGATTTCTTCGCCTTCAGCACTCCATGGACAGATGTGGCAAACACCGCTCTGGGGTTGACGATGACCTTGAAGTTGCGACGTCTTAATATGGGGACGATGGGTTCTCTGTAGAGGTGAGCCAGGATGTTCACACCCGATACGTTCTGCCACTGGTCCTGTGGAGGCAGAGCTTTGGGTTTCGGAGGAGGCGGTGGGGATCCAGTTATTCTCAAAGAGGTAACACCTGTCAGCGCCGTACTTCTTCTCCAGCAGCAGCAGCAACTCCGTCCAGCTGCAGAGAAAATGACCAAAAACAGTAAGACACTTCACACTGCATTAGTAAAGGTATTCATAGATTTTAACTCATTGTTCTACTGACTTCCTTATAAAGTAGAAACTCTACCTGTTGACAGACTGTGGGAGGATGAGCTCATCAAGATCATGCAGCGCCACGTATCTGGACCGGTACATGGATCTGTACAGGCAGTCGTTGAGCGCCGGGATCTGACCGAAGTAGTGAAGGTCACCAGGACTCTGACTTGGACGAGCTCTTCGAGAAACATTCAGGTACTTTGACAGAGACCAAGGAATCACCTCCACTAGACCTGGAACATACAGGAAGGTCGGCTGGTTTCATTTCTCATTTGCTGCTGTCATGATTCGTTGTGACGGTTTGGTGAGGTGAAAGCAGGACGCAGCCAGACCCAGGTAGAAGAGATGAATGATTTAATGATGATCCACAGAGACGGCACAGGGAAACAGACTGGTAACACGATGAGGATCCGACAAGAGACAAAGACAACAGTTGGACTTAAATACACAGGGAGGGTAATCAGTAAACTAGATAAAGCTAGAATCAATCAACAGGGAGGACAGGACAGAGACTCACAGGGAAACAGGACTTAACACAGAAAATCTCAAGATAACTACACAGAAAAACACAGATCACAACAGCT